GTGAACACGGTGTAGATTGTGCGGTGAAGTTAATATTTTATTTATATAACACATTGTCGGAATGTACTAATAATAAGTAATATAATAGTGGCAAAAATCTACTTTTAGTTCTTTACTTTATTAGATTTGTAAGTTTTAACTCCTCACTTATTAGAATCGAAAAAAATATCTCTCATTTTATAATATTTCATTAATTATGCTAACTGACTGTTAATTTTATTAGCTGAAAGCAAGTTTTTGCCAGTTAATAGTCAGCTGCTAATCAACTAATAGAGTTAACAGTCAACTAACATAATAGTTTTGTTAACTGACTATTAACTCTATTAACTGAAAGTAAGTTTTTGCCAATTAACAGTCAGTTAATAGTCGGCTAATAAAATTAACAGTCAGCTAACAAAACTAATAAAATATTATAAGTGAGGATTATTTTTTATTATTTTAATAAATGAGAGGCAAAAAATATCATAATATAAAGCAATGAGCTAAAATCTACCAATCTAACAAAGTAAGAGTTTAAAAGTAGGTTTTTGCCTATAATAGTTGTATGGCTTAGGTAGTAGTGTTGATTAATGTAATATATACTTCTTTTGAATAACGAGTGAACGCGGTATAGATTGCGTGGTGCAGTTAATAGTTTATTTATATAACACATAGTTGGAACATACTAATAATAAGTAATATAATAGTTGTATGGCTTAGGTAGTACTGTTGATTAATGTAATATATACTTCCAACAATTTTATTATGAACTTGTTTTTTCAATTTGCGATCAGTGTAGTTTTTTTCAATGTGATTTTGACCACATGTATTTATTTCTTTTTGAAAAATTATTTGAAAGTTACTTTTTAAAAGTGTAAAGAATATTTTTTATTAGCTGAAGTTATTTTTTGGTGACTTATTTATTAAATGGTTATAATACGCCAAAAAATATAAAAGAAAATAATTTATAGAATTTATTTTCTAACCAACCAAGTGGACCCTAAATATAGTGAATTTATCTAATAATTTAAATTTAAAATCTTTCAAAATTTTAAGGATCTCATGTCCGATAGGAAAAAAGCTTCTCTT